TTGTGACTGTTAGCTGTGTGAGTTTTCGAATTTTTGAGTTGTCATAACTTTGTTAATAATGAATATTTTTTCATGAAATTTTGGTCACACCTGTTTAGAGGCAATCTGAATCCAGTGGCGTAGTGATTTTTTCAATAAAAAAATCGCTAATAAAAAATCCCGATTGTCGACTAAGAAAAAATATCGTAGTATGCCATGAAACTTTAATAAACATTTCAAATTTTGTCCCAAGGTAGACCTTTTAGTACTTGACATTAAAAAAAAATTAAAATCGATTTACAACTTCAAATTTTAGAGGGGTGTTTCCATTAAAAATGGGCTACACTGTATATTGAAGTAGGTGTATATGTAATTTTTATAACAATATTTACAGGGTGGTTCAAAATTATGGCGGTTTCAACAGTTATTCATTTATTTATTTTGGAACTTCTTAAAAATGTACATGACGATCGTGATATCCATATAATCACTCTGCCTATGCAGATGATTTATCTTTGGTACTGTCTTCACCTGACACTAATTTACTAAATGCTAATTGTAGTGATGTGATGAATAAAATATTATATTTTTTCAATGAACGTTCTTTATTTTTCAATACGGAAAAACAGAGGTAGTACGTTTCGACAATCGTCAAAAGCCAATTCAAAATCATGATTTTAGAGTAAATCAGACAATTTTGACAAACACTCAAGAATCTTGTGGTTTATTTAGATGAATTTTTGAGTTGAAAAACTCACTGTAATAAACTAATGAGCAAATTGAATTCCCTGTATTTTCTTCTTTTGAATCTTCTAAATGTTCTCAATGATATACAGCTACTGGCAATTTACTACACCAAAATTGATTTGAGGCTTAGGTATGCTGTATGTATGTCTCTGGGAAATTTCCACCTCAGCATCAGAGTTAAATTAAATCCCTTTTTTTAAATCAATACTCACCCCTCTTCTTCCAGTTTTAATTAGTACATCGTTCGATTGTTTTGTTTAAACGGGTCGTGGTGTATTGTTATTTGTTCAAAAATGCCTTACACTACTGCTGAAAGGGTTTCAATTATTGCTTTATTTTTTGGCAACGACTAAAATGCTAATAAAACATCAATTTTATTCAACGAGCAAAACCCTGGTAAACAACAAAGCAGAAATCACGTTCTGGATTTGGTCACAAAATTCAGTGAGACAGGTTCGGTTTCAAATAAGAAAAGAAATGTTCAGAGAAGGGTGGTGAATGACGATAATGCGATTGGAGTGATTGGTCAAGTCATCGCCAATCCCAGGTTAAGTACCAGAGGTTTATCAGCAATGGCCGGAATAAGCTATATGAGCGCATGGATAATCCTTAAAAACCACAATTTCCATCCTTACAAAATTAAACTTGTTCATGAACTCATGGAGGATGATTTTGACCGAAGACAGGAGTGAGGACAGGACAGGAGTGAGGGCATGAGTGAGAGATTAATGCAAAATCCCGAGCTGCTTTATAACATCTGTTTTTCGGACGAAAGCTCATTTTATTTGAATGGTTGCGTGAACCGTCATAATTGCCGTTATTGGTCGGATGAAAACCCAAGACAATACGCAGAAATACATAATACATATCCAACATCCCCAAAAGTTGAATGTCTGGGCCGGAATATTAGGCAATCATATTATAGGTCCATTTTTCATTGATGGAAATTTAACCGGTGATTCTTATTTACAACTTTTTGAAGAGGCAATGCAACCTCGTATAGTTGAAATAATTGAACAGGATCCAAGATGTCAAGATGAATTTATCCATTTTCAACAAGATGATGCACCACCGCATTATGCCCAGCAGGTTCGAAATTTTTTGAATAATCATTTTGAAGGACAATGGATTGGCAGGAGAGGTCCCATTGAATGGCCAGCACGATCACCAGATTCAACACCACTGGACTACATTTTGTGGGGAAATCTTTATTGTTGCATGGAGCAAAATGGCGCACATTCTGAATATTTACTCTAAATTTCCTATGTGAGTTACCCTAATTAGGTGTTACTTTTTTTGTGTGTGCTTTAAAAACAATTATTGGGATTTATTAACCCTAAAACAGTTTTTTAAACTTTTCTGTGTCATCAGTAGCAAGTTGTATTCGTTGTGTAGGTAAGTTTTTAGTATGATTAACTTTTTTATCAGAAGCATAAAATATCCAAATCAAAAGGCAACCTTCGTAAGGAGGTGCCACTCAATTTACCTAAAATGTAAGGGTGGTAACCAACCCCAAACCCCGAAAAAATCTCCTCGTAATAAACAAATAATTCTTACTTTTTTATGAAATCAAATGGACACGTATTAAGCAGGTTGTCATAAAAAGTAAAAATTTATTTTTTTATGAAAGTTCTGAACGTAAATTGTACCTTATAAACAATTTGATTTATTTTAAAAAGAGTTGAACTCAATGAAAATACCTTTAAATCTTCAAATTATCTCGAAAACTAATCGTTACAAAAATTTTCTTTTGACAGATATGTAAAGGTATTCGAAAGACCTTCAAAACAAGGTGCCACTTGGCCTTCTTTCCCTATCTAAATAAGGGTCGTCGGATGCACCCCTCCGAGGGGGTGCGTACTACAAAAAATCTGATTAGTCTGAAAAGTGTCCCCCTTTAATTAGAAATCGACGTATCCGAGCTTTTTTAAAAATCTTACTTCTCATATTCAAAAAATGCTCTGTTAAGTTTTCGTTGTTACACACTGTATACAGTTTTGATATAGCTGTTTATATTTTTGAAAATAGGTCGTTGTGCGAACTGAATGAAGATATTCATGGATATAATACAAGAAATAAACACTCCATGTATATTCCATTTGCGAAAGTGAATACTGCATATTTTGCTCCCCAGTACATAGGGCTACGAATTTTTAACAAACTCCCAGATATCATTTAACAGCATAAAAAAGTGAGACATTTCAAAAGAAACATTTTTTATTGGTGAAATGTTTTTTAAATAAACTTAGAATTAGGCTTGACATTTCCCTTACGTGTAACTGTCAACGGAAAATATCCTTATAGGACGAAACTATAGTAACGTTAGTTACAAATGAAAGTGATAAAAAGAAAGTTTCAATTCTCTTTTTTTCATTATTATCTCCTACTACGTAGTAACGGCTACATCCATCAATTTATAGAAATATTTAAGTTTATTTTCATCATCTACGTCGAAATTGTTTTATTCAAGAGTACAATGAACTTTCCGCAAAATATTTGGACTCTCATCATCGATAAGCCTGTTGATCTTTATAAAAAATCAGTTGGGTAACCCAGTGCAACAAGATAATAATGGGAGATGTTTTTGCTGGTATCTTTTTGGCAACACTGTTTTGGACAGATCCCGCGTGAATCGTGTCTTGTGTCATTGTCAAACTTGTCTAGTTTGGTCTATAATTTAACCATGAATCGACTTACGAATGAACAACGCTTGCAAATTATTAAATTGTATTATTAATAAAATTCATGCTCGGTGAAGAAAGTGCATCGTGCACTTCTTCCAATTTATGGGCAGTTTCGTCGGCCTACCGAGGAAGCTATTCGGAAGCTTGTGACTGAATTTCGAACCCACTTTACATTATTGGACATTGAACCACCAACACGCATACGTAGAGTGAGGACCGAAGAAAATATTGCGGCTGTATCCGCCAGTGTTCGTGATGACCGTGAAATGTCGATTCGCCGCCGTTCGCAGCATAGGGGTCTCTGTTACTCCACTACGTGGAAATGTTTGCGAAAGGTTTTGGGTGTTAAACCTTATAAGATACAGCTGGTGCCAGAATTATAGCCACACGACCTCCCACAACGTCTAACATTTGGTGAATGGGCGCTGGCAAAGTTTGAAGAAGATCCACATTTTTATCGAAAAATTGTGTTCCGCGACAAGGCTCATTTCTGGTTGAATGGATACGTTGACAACCAAAATTGCCGCATCTGGAGTGGAGACCAGCCACAAGCATTGCAAGAGCTACCGATGTATCCCGAAAAAGTCACTGTTTGGTGTGGATAATGGGTCGGTGGCATCATCGGGCCGTACTTTTTCAAAGACGACAATGGCCGGAACGTTACTGTGAATGGTGAGGGCTACCGTGTGATGATTGACGACTTTTTGTTGCCCAAAATGGAGGAATTGGACATGCCTGACATGTGGTTTCAACAAGACGGTGCCACATGCCACACAGCACGCAAAACAATGGCCCAATTAAGAGCCGCCTTCGGTGAACAGTTTATCTCACGTTTGGGGCCCGTCAATTGGCCGCCTAGATCGTGTGATTTAACGCCTTTGGATTATTTCTTGTCGGGTCATGTTAAGGCTCATGTCTACAGGGATAAACCAGCAACGACTGACGCTCTGGAAGCTAATATTGAAGCGTTTATACGTGAAATACCGGTCGATATGTTAGAGAGAGTGTGCTAAAGTTGGACCTTGAGCATGGGTCATCTAAAGCGGAGCCGCGGACAACATTTGCATGAAGTCATCATCAAACATTAAATTATATTGATCTTTCTATCGATTTCAATAAATATTTCATTATTTTTTCAAATTTTTTGTGGTGTTTTGAAAATCAAATCCTGTACCTCTCAAAAAATCACTCATTACTAGTGTTAGAGATAATACTAACCAGTAATTGTGGTCTGCCGAGAGCAGTCAGTTTGATGGCTGTAATCCCAGTACCGTATGTAGCCCCTGAAAACAAAGAAAAAGGTATTCATTATCGATTATATCGAGCCGCAACAAAATATAAAAGAGTAGTAGTTCTCACCAAAAACATTCCTTTCGTAAATGACTCAAATTTTATAAAAAATAGTCCGATTATGATCACATTTATTTTTGATGAAATCTACTTATGAAGGAACTGTTTGTGGAACACCCAATGACCTTTGTACTACACTGGCAGAAAGAAAAATAGGAAAGAAGCCAATAACCAAAACTACCTGGAAAAAATGCATTTCATAAAAAGCTTTCGAGAAATCGTTTAGTCTCGAGTAATACCAGTCGAAAAGTAATGCCTAGACGACCTACATACTTTTTTTCCCTTAAAATGATAGTATGTGACCGTCTCGACATTAGTGTTTTTATATATATGCTACAGAGTGCTAAACACCGACGTTATAGTTTGCCAATAGGAAGTTAAATCCAGATTCACATGCAGAGAGATGGTGAAGGTGATTTTACACTGTTTTGATTTTGTCAGAATGTAGTAGTACTCTTAAGGCGGATTTCCATCAACCGGACAAAACCACAACAAAACAGCAACTTTGTCGGTCTCGACAAAACAAAGAGTCGAGTTGTCAAAATGAAAAACATTTTGAAGACTTTGTGTCACGGGCGACTTTATTCGTTTTCTTAACAATGATCTCATAGATTTTGGCTTTCTACTACTCCATCTTGATACAAAAAAAGGGATGAGGGAATCTTCCAAAGAAAGGAAGTAGTCTCTATATACCTACACAGTAGCTTTAATGGACTGACGCCTATCAGAAAACAACTACTCCCCTGGCTAATACCACGAAGGCGTTGGATTATATCCGACAGGCGCCAGTGCAGGAATCTTCACAGAAAATTTCCTGCATATGCAATTGGCAATACAAATGAAAGAGTCGATCCTCAATTTTGGAACGGGCACACTTGCAGACCGGTTTCGAGTCGACTCTTTCAGTTGTATTGCCAATATCATATGCAGGAAATTTTCTGTGAAGATCCTTGCACTGACGACTTTCGGATATAATCCCACGCCTTTCGTGGTATTAGCCATGAGAGTAGTTATTTTCAGATAGGCTTCAGTTCATTCAACCTACTGTGTAGATATATTCGAGATTGTCTTGACTAATAAGACTAATAAGAAAAAAATACCACTTGTATTGTTACTCTTGAGACTCTTTGCCTGGGTGTTAAAACAAAGAAGCAGGAAAGAAATTGGAATTTCTAACAGGCAAAAGTGCAAATGAAAACTATCTCACTGAAGCTCGTCTTCATTCTACATATCTGGTTGTACATATTTCTGGAAAAGGTAGATTTTGGTGAATCACTGTCACTGATTTACAATTTAATTTATTTGATTGATTATAAACTCAGTTTCAGTAAAAATTCCACGAATTCGAAGAAAAAAGATTCTGACATTTTCAATAGTTTCTAATGGAATTTCCTAACCGAATAGGTTCAGTGCTAATTATTGAAAACATTCGAAAGATGAATCAAGGTTGATTTTTTATTAAATGCAGCTACTTTTACTGTTATATTTTTCTCAGTGTAAGCAAAAAAATCCTCCATTCTACCAAAAATCCGTACTCCCAGATTTGAGCAGAGTAGAATCACCGAAAAATGCTCAGGAAATGTTCTGTACAAACCTGTGAAAGACTTTTCTACAGAAATAATTTAGAAGAAAAAATTTGGTGTCATACTTATCTGACGATCTGTTTCGAAATTTTGAATTTCGGTTACCATTTTAATTTAAGAGGTATTACCAAGACCCGATATCTGCAAATTTCAGTATTGTGTGCAACAAATACGTTTCCTTTCGCCAGCTACTTTACCTTTTGACGTCTCCTGAAAATCTAGGGAGAAAAAATACAGGCATCATGAATAACACATCGCCAAAATAATTCACAAAACACTAATTTACAATAAATTAAAACACTATGTCGCAAACCAATGCAAAGATGAAGTTATGAGGTATATGAAACGGTGAAAAGTGTTCTTGTGTATGTTGTATTTTCAAATGCACGGGACTGATTGAAGTTTCAATTTATTTTGTGGATGTTTAACAAATTCACATTGAACCCCTTTTTCAATATTTTAATAATGAAATGAAATCCATATTTTCCACCCCAAGGTACAATAATAATAAAAACCAGCATACTCCAATCAGCAAAATTCAATTCAGGAACATTCTTCTTTTTTAATTAAGAAAAAGACTTGGAAGAAATCAGCATTTTCAATTGATTCTATGTAAACTCTATGAGTTAGCAGTTCGGTAATAACGGTGGTCAAAAAAATTCGATACTTTTCAAAACAAAGTTATCTGGCGGCATTTTTGGTTCATATTTCTTTAAGAAAGACGTTGGCTAGACCATCAGTCAACGGCGAGCACTATTGGTCGCTGATTACCAACTTCTTTTGGCCTAACTTAGATGATCTGGACCCCAACNTGTCGAGGTGTAAAAATAACGATTTGGTGTTGGGAAAAAACTCCAGTAATATTCAAACATGTCAGTTAAAAGCTCCATTCCCCTATATTGATTTCGACTTTGATAAATTTTTGACATCCAATATCTTCATTTCCTTTTTTGTTTTGTACTGGTTTTCAGTACACCTGTAATAACTATGAAAGATGATACTGCAATAATTTTGTTAATATTAAACACTACATTCGGTGCGGAGTTTGCTTTATCGGAAGGAAATCGAGGAATTGCTGCCGAACGAACCCCGAACTTTCGTTGTTCAGAGTTCGGTGTTCGTTCGGCCTTCGTGCGCTCAGTGAAAACGCACCTTTAAAAAATCACCCGTTATATTGCCAATATTATTTCAACCTTGAATATATTAATAATGGGCTAACAACTCATTTGGTGAATTGGCCTTGACTTTTTTACAAATGTTAGCAATATTAAATCAGCAAAAAAGTTGCCGGATAATAATTGCATGTCCTCAACCAATCGTAGAGTAATTAAATTAATTCTAGAGAGATTTGATGTGCTGCTTCTAAAAATATATAGCCAGACATTGAAGGGACCGCAAAAAAAACCGCATCAACCAGATTCATACTATGTTGTTTGCTTTTTGTGTGATTCTCTACACTGACCTTGGTATCGATTTAAAAATAATCCCAGGTGCGGCAAGTTTGATATATTATTGCATGAGATGCTTGGGTTTGGATATGTAACACTTTTTCCAGTAAACTAGCGAAAAACTAATATTAGTTGATAAGGCATCATGTGAATAATGAGTAATGTTCATTTCAAGGTAAACACGGTAAATAATGATCTACTGTTCTCAAAATATGCGGTGTCATTACCTATCTGAAATTTGAACAGCATGTAAATAGTGTTTATTAGTCATCTAGAAAACGATCATTTGTTAATTTATAATAACACATGAGCTGAAAGAAAACGCGTTATTTTTTTGGTCAAAATTGGCTTTATTCATCAACGTGATCTTCATCAAGAGATACCACTTTTGTAGTACGATTTATCTTTTGCCTCAAAATATAGTCTAATCAACAAGTTCAAAAACATGAAAAATAGAGATGAAGGTCCTAAAAATATTTAGGAATCACCTCTAGAAAAATGTTTTTGAAGGATTATGGTGCAGGTAAAAAATCGCAATTGTTATTAACAAAATAAGATTAATAAAAATGGTATTTAGTTTTTCGTTAACAACTCAAAAAATATTAATATTTGAAGGAATTTCGAAAGAACCGCGTTAAAGAGGAGGAAATTTCCGNTTAAAATTATAAATAATCGAGATAGAGTTTCGGGAGTCGGGACTTTTTCAACGGAAATTTCCTCCACTTTATTATTTTTAGGACCTTTCTATTTTTCATGTTTCTAGACTAATAGGTCACAGTTTCAGCAATAACCTCTTTATTCGAGCAAAATTTATTACCGGCGAGCATTTTTTTGAGGTCAGCGAACAGCCAGTAGTCGCTGGGAGCCAAATCTGGCGAATACGGTGGACATGGGAGCAATTCAAAGTTCAATTCGTGTAGTTTTGATTGACTTGAATAGTTATGTCGCATATTTCATTCATGTACATGTCTCTGCTTTACAAAAATCATATAAAATTGGAACATTGTTTGACAGGGAGGGGGATGACTTTCAATGTAACTGACGTCACGGACATTTTTGAAACTTCCATTTTTTTTCAAAATGGAAAAATTTGGGCGCTCTTTCCTAATTGATGAAGCATTTTCTTATGGAACTTGTGCGATGTGAATCGCTACTTTCGTTCAGGCACCGCTCTAAGAGCGCCTCAAGGATTTTCCTGTAGAGCTTGTGTTTCGTCCTTGAAACAAAAAGAATATGGCACGGGGCTGCCCCATGTTAGGTCAAAAGTGTGGAGGGTCTATTTGACCCTCCACCGCCACATGCATTTATATCAACAGTAGAGTAATTTCAAGAGGATCGGGTGAAAAAATTGAGGAGGAATACTTTTCGGTACTCATGCCTCGATTTCTCCAGGACTATTTGATTTTTCAACTCGTAGGCATCCATCCCAACAACTATATCTCGTATTTAAAAAAGTCTCGAGATGTGATCGTGTTTTTGAGTTATATAAGAGTAAAATAACCATGCGACATAGATCGAGTTGAAGAACAGACCCAGCCCAAGGACTAACCTGCGATGGCTTCGAGGCATCTGATGAATGTCTCCATGTTCCTTTCACAAGTCGCCTCGTTCAGGTAGAAATACGTCCTCGCAGACTGCACTTTGTATCTTCTGTCGGCGAACGTTTTGTCCACGTGGTACTGCTTCAGGGAACCTTCGACGTTCGCTTCGTCTCCAGCTTCGGGAACTGAAGCCCTGGAAAATTGGAAAACAAAAACAGTTACACTTGTCGAAAATACACTTGTATGAATCAAAAAAAGCCAATAATAAACAACGGAGGATTTAATATACTGTGCGACCCATTCAAAATGGAGGTACCCTTATAAATCAGATACAGTGAATTTCTTCAATGCCAACTCAAAAAATTGAAGTTTGGGGTAATGAAATTAATGCATGAATACTTTATTTTGAAGTGAAATTGACAGAGAAACTTTCAAGATGGCGACTGGACGCCATCTGGGAAAAAAATTAAATGGAAAGGGGGGTCTTGTGACACATCGTTTTGAAGCTCCTGACAAATGCTTCACAACCCTAGAAAATAATGTCAATATCTTCAAATACTACAAAATGGCGGAACTTTTAATAATTACCTAATTAAATTGACATTTAACTACACAATATGAAGTAATAAGCTTGAGGTTAGTTCATAAGATGGTCGAAATGGTTGCCTTGAACTTTTTGACATACAGTGTGTCTCACTTCTCATGGAAACACTCCCGTATCTTCCGTAATATTCGAGGTAGAACGATGAAACTCTCAAGACTGATGGAAATGCTCAAAATGCACCTACCACCTGAATGGGGTTGGCCAAAGTGATATACACTGTCCGCCACTCGCGATGGAACACCCCATTTTTACGGTAAAACATATTAGG